CAGTACGCGAATCACTGAATCGGTAAGTTTAAGCTGCTACTCATAACCTTTGTTATATGAGCTGTCTTTGATTAATATAGATATATATTTTTTTAAAAAAAAATCACTTTAGATTTGATTATAACTCAGCTTATATGACTTGCAGAAAGCATAGAATTGATTTAAATATTTTATATGATCATGACCCTAAATCATTCTTGAATAATGTTGAATTATTTGTTAATCAAGTCGAAAAGGTTGAATATTTAAATTTATTTTTATCAAGTTTAAGGTAAGCTAATTATTTTCTAGTATGAATTCGAATCATTTGTTTAAAATTTATTTATTCCTTTTAATTATAGAAATGAGGACGTGGTTATAACTATGTACCCTAAAGTTATTTTAGGTCCAAAATATGGGTCATCTGATGATAATACGGGGTAAATTTTTTTTTTTATGCAAGACAATTTATTTTTAGCATGCACGAGACCTTGAATTTATGTTTTTATTATTTAACTAGATTGCAAGATGTGTCAACAAAAGTTAATATTGTATGTGATTCAGTTCGTGGAATTTTAGAATCTAAGAACTCTACAAAATATCTTCAATCAATAATAACAACTTTTGTCAAAAAATCTCCACCAGAATTAGAAGCTGCATTAAATTTCTTGGCCAAATTAAAAGGTAATAATGAGATTGTGTAACTCTTTACAGATAATTTATTAAAAATCTAATATATATTATATATTTTTTTTATGTATGATAAAGATATAAATATTGCAGAAGATGCTGTAAAATACGCAATATTTTTAGTAGACGCAGATAAACTATTTGATATTGCATTGGGAATGTACGACTTTAGTTTGGTGCTTCTAGTTGCTCAACAATCCCAAAAAGTAAACTATTTTACCAAATATTTATTATTTCAAGGCTGTTTCACCCATTAATACAAATATGATTTTTTATTCATACAGGATCCAAGAGAATATTTATCATTTTTGGCCGAACTTGAAAGTTATCCAAAATATTATCAAAGATTTAAGATTGATGATCATCTTAATAGATATGAAAAGGCTTTAAATAATTTAAGTTTAGCAGGTGAAGTTAAAATTCAAATTTTATTTACACGTATAAATAATTTTTTTTTTTAAAAAATAAATTATATTGATTTGTATATTATTTAGGCGATGAATATTTTGATCAATGTTTGAAATATCTTCAAGAGTATCAACTTTATAAACCAGCCATTGCTCTCTTTGCTAATAATGATGAAAAATACAAAGTAAGAATTATATATTTTTTCTTTACGTATCATTTTTGAGAAATTTGTCTGTTAAAAATATTTAATAATATATTAATATACATATATATTATAGAAAGTTATGATCATTTATGGAGACTATCTGATTTCAGAGTCTAATTTCAAAGAAGCTGGATTAGGTATGAGAGTAGAGCTTTTTAAGTGACCTGACATATATTACATAATATCATTTTAATATAAAGACTACCCTCCCCTAGATAATATCATTTATGCTGATACCACCAAAATGTTACCGAATATATTATTATAATTTCTAATAATAATATATTTATTTTAGCATACGTTATGGCTGGAAATAAACCGAAAGCGCTTGAACCTTATAAAGAATCGGGAATGTGGCGTGAGGCATTTGCTATCGCTCAAGAATTAAAGTATTCATCAGATGATTTGTTCTTATTGGCCAAAGAACTTTCCGGTATTTGTTATAAAAATCATATTGGATATTCCGTTTGGAAGGACATATATGTAATTGATTATTTATTTTTAGAAACTTTGTCTGATAAAAGACAGTATCAAGAAGCTGCTCAAATATTATTGGATTACACAAGGGTTAGTAGTAATTTCTATAACGTCTGTTTTTAAATCATGGAATTTTATTAAACTTTTAATATCTTAATTTCTTAATAGCAACCTGAAGAGGCTGTCGTATTACTTAACAAGGGTCATCATTGGAGTGAAGCCATACGAATTGTAAGTAATTAGTTTAAACAAGAACGATCAACATGAGGTTACTAATTAAGGATTTACAATTTTGTAGTCTTACATGTACGGCAGATCAGATCTTATTGAAACGAACGTTAAACCAAGCGTTCTTGAAGGTATAAATATGATCATTAAATCATATTGCATTATTATTGATTATTGATTATATTATAAATATTTGTTATAGGACATGATAATATACTTCAGGATATTAATTCTATGTTTGACCAGTTAAATCAGCAAACTGCACGATTACAAGAGATCCGTCTTAGTA